AATAAATAACAATTGTAATATATTCCAGAGTAGAAAAGGGTAAGTTAGAATGCATTCGTAGGGTCTAGTTCACATACACGTGTGTTTATTCCAACCACTCTGTTTGAACCTGTGTCTGGATCAGTAGAAGATTGCAGACAAGTTCTCTCCGTGGTGAGTTTGTTTTAGTCTTGTGGGGGTGCCTGCACAAAAAGGTCCCATCATAACTGGTCCTGCTGAGTCTACTCAAAAAAGGTCCAGTCAAAAAGGGGGATCTGCTGGACCAGTGAAATTCAAGAAGAATCAGAGCTCAGAGATGATGGCATCTCTTTGGGAGTCCAAAGGGGTACTCTTGATAAGATTCTCTCAAAGGGCACAAGATGCTCACAAGGGCTTGCTATAGAGAAGTTTTAAGAGAAGTTCGAGCTAGTTTTTCATAAAATGGTGGGAAAAGTTATGCCATTTTTTTCTATCACAGCAATGTACCCATTCCTTCTAAAGGTACACCAAGGGATGTCCATAGAGAATTTCAGTGGGTAACCTTACTCCGTCCACCCTACAGCACTGGTCCCGCCCTTTCAGACTTCCTTCTGTTCTCCAAACTCAAAGAACATTTATAATAAAGAACTCAATTTGCGTCCTTTGAAGATGCTGAAACTACTGTTGTGATGTGATATAAACTGAAGAGTGAATTCTCCCGGGAAAGTCTGAGAGATGGAAGCACTGCCTTCAGCAATGTTTGGAGAGCGAGATGGAGGATATGTTAGGAGTACTTACTCCTCACGGTTCTGAGATTTTTCTTTAATAAGGTTTCTATGATTTTGTAGCAATACTTTGACTGAGTCTCATATACAAACTTCTCCCACTTGGAAAAATTACTGTTAAAATATAGACTTCAAATGAAACAATTTTCACTTGGGGCCTACTTTCCAGAGGAAAGGAACAGCAGCAGCATCTGAGGGGAGGCGGGTGGTGGTGGTCTGGAGCAAATTTAATGAAATTACCTTTTAGTAAAGTACAGAGAGTGAAAACTCACTTCGCTCGCATCAATGGACCTTTTTGTTTTCTTACCTTCCTTCATCAATGTAATCCACTACTAGTGAGCTGATGATAAAGATAATGAGGAGGGCAATAAACATGTGATAGATGGTTCTGATGTGGTCCACCTCTAACAGCTCACTGTAAAATTTAGTTCAAAAGAATAAAATTAGTAATCAAAATTTAAGTGAAAAATGTTTAAAAGACTTCTTCAACGCAGTTTAGTAGATATTTAATTCCACCTCCAAAATAATCTCAAAACAAAAAAAACCCCACATCTTTACATATGAAACTTTTAGTAGAGACATTTAATGGCTTTAGGGCAATATTCCTTCCAAGAAAATGATAGTCTTTTAGAATAAAAAAGATACTAAACTCTTTAATACCAATTGATCTGCATACAGGTGGCAGGGACATGTGCCAAATGCTAAAACGGCCCCTCTCCCCCACAAAAGGATAGCCTTATAATCTAGTCCCTATAATTAATTCAACTAATATATATTAGGTGCTATTTCCAAGATGTCAAGGTTGAAAGATTTTCTATAATGGAGACAATTACCATTCTATATATCTAGAAAAGATTAACTACTTACAGATCTTTTTTCATATTTGCTATCTTTTCTGATTTCTTTATTTAATTAAAATTGGTTTATTTTATTTCAGGGTACAACAACGACTTCTAGATGACTCCTCCTAAATAAATACCTTTAGAATCCACTTAAAACAAGTTTTTAACCCCGGTTTTCATGAAGGATATATGCCAACTATCTACATGGCTTTTCAGGCAATCTAAAATGCTAAAATCTCTGGATTGAAAATATCTAACTTCTAATTAAAACCCAAGTGAGTTACAGAAAAGCATTCTGTTTTCTCGGTTCATTTACCATATACACTCAAGGATAAGCCAACCTGAACATCAGCCGAGGCACCTACTTTTACCACAAAAACTGCATTAAAAATGTGTTGGAAAAACTCGGCTTATACACGAATATATATGGTAGGTATTTCAATTTGTCTTGGTAAAACTGTTGGTTTGTTTTGGGGTGTGTGTGATAATTCTATCATTAAATTTTTTTATTGTAATACCAAAACTCATTGTCACTGATCAAGTCCAAGTCATAGTGACCCAATAAGTTAGAGTAGAACTTCCCCTGTAGTTTTCAAAGACTCTAAGTCTTCGCAAATAATAAAAGCCTCATCTTTCTCCTATGTAGCTGCTGATAGGTTCAAACTGATGACCATGCAGTTAGTAGCCCAATATGTAGCCCACCTATGCAACTAGGGCTCCTGATTTTATATTTAGTTATCTCAATGCTCCCATTGCATTAATGACAGGTATTAATTAATCTGACAGGCAAGGATCTGCCCTAGTAAGAAATGTTACAGGAAATTTCCCCTTAACACCAACCCCTATGCTCAGTGTAATCAGAGCTCAATGAATTAAGAAATCAGTTTGAACAAAGCAACAACTCATGTATTGCAGCTCACAGTTAGAGTATACTCGCAAAAATGCATCAGAAAAGGAGTACATAAATTCTATGCCATTGGATAAATTATTGATGCTATCAATGCAATAGCTTTATACTCCAGGAGTTGACAATGTTTTTGTTTGCTTTATTTTGGTGTTAATTTTGATTTGTTCTTGTTGTTCTTGTTTTGTTTTTTTTGGATCATAATATGACTGCCAAAGTAAACCAGAGTCATTCATAACCCATGACATGCAGATGGATTCTGGGCTCCCAATTAATTCTAGCCTCAATCCAAGAACAGGTAGTTCTTCTAACATGGCCTTACTCCATACTTGCCTTCATGAAGAGATCACTAAAGATAAGGGTGCTGAAGAAAGCAGACCATATGGTGCTCAACTATCAATTGGAATACTGTGGGTTTTTTAAAGGCTTGTATTCAAACAAGCATCCATTTGGGCCAGGCATCAATTAAGGCCACATGGAAGAAGCACACTAGCCTGTGTGATGCAAAGATGACAATGACAAATATGATGAAGGGAAAAGTATCAGAGCTTTGTGATCTTCCAATTTGTAGGGTATGGAGGACAGTGGATGGCCAAAATCAATCTGCAGACTATTCTAGTTAGATTAAGCCTCTGACAGCTACCCTCTAGCCACAGGCGAGTGTCTCAAACAGCTTTACTATTAGACAGAGATTACCGTAAACTTGAATACAGTGGATGGAACCATGTTATATGGTATGAAGCAGCAGTTCTCAACCTGTGGTTACAACCCCTTTCACAGGGGTTGCCCGATTCACAATAGTAACAAAATTATGGTTATGAAGTAGCAACAATGATAATGTTATGGTTGGGGAGGTCACCACAACACGAGGAACTTATTAAAGAGTTACAGCATTAGGAAGGTTGAGAACCACTGGAATAATATGATACTTGGTCAGTTGACCTCCCTTCTTGACGCAACCTGAATTTGTTGTAGACGCAAATATTTTTTCATTTGTTCTACAACAGCAATTTCTTCTCTGGCTTTTAAAATATTAATGGGGGGCTTTTTTTCTTACTTATTTATTAACTTTTTATTATTATTTTCTTCTTTCTGTTTCTTTTTTAAAAATTGTTTGTTAGGTTTCCTAGTTTATAAAGCACAGAAAGAGTGGATGCATAGAGACAATAAATGATCAATGGTTATCAAGGTAGGGGTGGAGAGGGTGAGGGGAATAGGGGAGCAAACAATGAATGGGAGCGAGGGGAGGGAGCACTAGAACTGATTGTGATGATGTATATAAAACAATTTTTTAAAGTGACTTAATTATGTAAGATATGTGAATATTATATCAAGAAAGCTACTTTAAAAAAATGGAAGAAACCAAAGTTGCCAATGGTTACTATGAGTGAAGGAGGAAGTTTATGCTTAAGGGACATTTGAGTTTATGTTAATAATGCTGGGATAATTTGGAAAAGAAAACCAATAATGGTTGTACAACACAAAAAGTGTTTTTGTGTTGATCAATGTTACTAAATTCTACATGTAGAAACTGTGTATAGAAATATACACAAAAATGTTTTGTTGGGTATATTTTTGCCACAATTAAAAAATATATGTGAGAGGTTACCCCCAAAAGACCCGGAATTTCTTCCCCCCCAAACTATGTATTTTAATTTTTCCACAAAGCAACCTTATCACCTTTAAAGTACACTTAATACATTTGTCAAATCTTCTATTCCATTCTTGGAAACATTTGTTTCAAACTCATCTGTTTTGATGGCTGACAGCACCTCCCTCATTTTTTTCCCCCACCCCTTCTACTTCATCAAATCACTGTCGGTTCATGGCCCTCTTCATTCATGAAAACAAAAGACGTCACATGGAGTGAGGTCAGGTGAGTGGGGCAAGAGAGGCATGCTGTTTTTGGCCCCAAACTGGCACACTGAGATGGCTATATGAGCAGGTGCATTGTCATGGTGGCAAAACTAGCCCCACAAATCAGGCCTTTTTGGATTAACTGTCTGACCTGGTGGAACAAACTCAAAATGCAGTAAAAGTCGACGTTTTCATCTGTCAGGGAAGATAACAAACAGCCAGACAAGGTTTGTCACCCATCAACATTTCACCTTTTTGAAACGAGAAAACCACTCATACACTTGAGCTTTCCCCATAGTGATATCCTTGAAAGCTGCGTTCACCACCACAACAGTTTCTGTGCCATTTTTCCGGAACAGGAAACAAAATCTCACAGCCGTATGCTGTTTTCTTAAATCGGCCATCACAAAAAAATGAGGCTTAAGCAAAACTGCTTTTATGAAAACATTCACTGTGACCATAGAGAACCTTCCCAGGTGACACCACTGGGTGCATTAATTCTGAGCAAGTTGCTGGATGCTCTCCTAGTGGAGAAAACACGTACTTCTAAAGCTCTGCTCCACCCGGAACAATTCTGGGTTTTTTGGGTACCCCCTTGTATATAATTAATAACAATGAGGACAAGAAAGAAGAAAATGTTCTGAAATTGATTGTGATAATGATTATACAACTTTCCTTGATATGACTTAACTATTGAATTGAATGATATGTGGATGAAATGCCAATAATCGGCTTAACAAAAAAAAAAAGAAAAGAATTACAGTCTTGGAAACTCTATGAAGCGCCTCTCCTCTGTCCCATAAGGCCGCTGTATGTCAGAAGCAATCTGCTATGTGGGTTTTTCATAAAATCCACAAAAGCAAGGCTCTTAATGAAGTATCTTGTAAAACTATCAAGTTTTTAAGTCATTAAAAGAAAATTTAAAAAAATAAATAAACTACATATTAAGAAGACAGAAACTTCAAAACATTCTTAAGTACTTAATCCAATTTAAAACTTTGGTTCTAGATCTTTAGGTAACAAGTTTTTTGTGGCATAACTTCAGGGAGTTTAACAGATAACCACATTACTAACCCTTACTTTGAATCTAGATACAGGTAAACTGGAAACAGAAGAAAAACAAAAATGCCTGTGGATTACCCATAGCCAATCACTGGAATAAAATGATGTAAATTTCATATAAAAATTTTTAAAAAGAAAGAAAAGAATATAGAATCAGATGATCAGAAAGAATGAACAAGAACCAGAGAATCAGAGATTCTAATATCAAGTTGTAGTGCTTTTTAAAAATAAAGATAAAAGTACTTACTCTAGCAGAGATCGCCTTATGACAAAAATCTTTCCTTGTTCGGGAGGCGCCCTCAGCTCTCTGGGAAGAGGAATATTTGAAACAAACATAAGCACTTGAAGCACTAATAAATTTAAGCCTATTTCTAAGAGCCTGCTTTAGCATCTAAGTGTCTTCTCACTATATACCAGGTACTCTGTTAAGGGTTTCAATGGGTTATCACAGCATTTCTTCCTGAATTATCTATAAGGTCGACAGGTACGCTCGTACCTTTTTCGAAAGAGGTATTTCGGAATACCTAATTGAAGTGCATTCGAGGGGTCGCTGGAGCTATGCTTTCCATTCATCACAAGCTGACAATCACTCTTGCTCCTCCTAACCGTCCAGTTGGTTATGACCTAGCGCCAGCCATACTTTGTTTCAGTTAACATAGCACTTGTAGTCTTATTTCCTAAAACTGTACTGCTGCTTATGATGCCCTATTAATGCCAAAGGACTTCTAAAACCCCCCATTACCACTGGTTGCCTCCAAATACTGAAAATTTGCACTTTAACATAGTAAGACTGTCTACTTCGGGGCTATTTTTGTGAGGTTTTTTTTTTTTGCAGTCCTCTGGCACTTTCACTTGCATACTTCCTGGTCAAAACTGCTTTCCAGAACAGCAGAGACTGGCAGAGAGACCAAGAAGCATAAACCCCAGGGAAGCACAGAAGGGTAAACTGGCACACCTTCATGTTTAAGAGCCTCCCTGTTGGGCTCTGGATGACTGAGCAAAAGAAAAAGTATATTCCAACCACACTGTACTTGATGACAAGTACAGTGTAAAGGCATCCTTGTGACAAGGTTAAAAGTATGAACTCTTTACCAGGCTGAGTTCAAGTTCCAGCTGTGTGTGACTTCGGACATTATATGACTCTGTGCCTCAGTTTCCTAATTTGTAATATGACAATGGTTACCGTACCTGTTTCATATAACAACATTAGGTTTAGGTAAGTTAACTCATAAAGAACATTTATGGATTTTCATAGCCTGCACTCAAAAAGCGTTGGCTCAATTATTATGAATTAGCACTCTCTCAAATGAGTCATGTTGGGTTATAACCCACATTTTGAAAGGAAGACACTGATGATTCAAGTGGTTCAATAACTTGCTAGTGCAATAAATACACAGCCAATAATAAGTGGTGTCAGCCAGGGTATAAATCCTGAAGTGCCTACCCTCTAACCACTAGGAATACTTGATGATTACGTTCAATGAAAGTAATACGCATACTTACTTAGCTCTATGGTTGTTCTGTCCTTTGAGAATAGAAAAAGATGTGAGAGTACCACCACCAATATCTATTGATGCAGATTTTTCAATGAGATTGGTCACAAAATCATCAAAGTGAGTGCCAACTTCCTTCATAAAATATGGTTTCAATTGCTATAGAATTCCAAAAACAAAATCAAGCAAGCATTAACAACTAAAACAATATGCGTGTTATTGACATTTTCTAAAAAGCAGGACCAAAAGATCATGCTAAGTGACGGAGTATACAAGAAGAAAACTGATTTCTACAGCTTACATGTCGTTTGAGAAATGGCTACCAAAAAAGCAACACACAGTTTTAACCTTTTTAAACCAAAACGCCAGAGTAATAATCTAAATTAATTCCTAAAATGATACTAAAATCAAAAGTAACAGAAATGATGAAAGTGGATGAGTATTTTTTCTTAAAAAAATTATATCCATATAATATTCATTATATAATGACATTAAGATAAAATTGTAAGTCCTCTTTCTTCTCAAGCAGCTGCCCAAGTGCCAGTGTTGATATTTTAGAACATGTCACCTCTAGCCAGACCTACTTTGGCATTGTAACATTCACTCCTAGCTCCATACTTGTATTTTACAGAATCAAAAATATTTTTATTTTCATAAAATTGCTATACATTTTGATCTTTGGTGATTCTTAAACTCCTAAAATGTACACATTCACAGTTTTTTAAAAGTACAAAATGGAAAAGATTTTTCTAGATTACCAAATGAGCAATTGTAAATTTTAACCTTTTGAAGTAAGGCTTACCAACATAATTTTTATTAAAATTATTTTTCATATTAAGATGACCTGTTCTTAGAGGCTGCATCATAGCAACACACAAAACTGCTCTGGAAAGTGGTGGCTACATTGCAAGTGCACTGGACAGGGGGATTGGGAACAGGGATTCCGTCCCCCACCCCCAGCCTCCGGCATGGAGCCTAGAATTCCACCACTGACCCACCGTGACCGCCTTAAGTTAACCAATCATATTTTGTTAGTCCCTGTTTTGTTTGATCTTCCTTATATTCCTGTCTTCATTTTGACATTAATTTACAATGGGAATCAAGTATCCCTATCAATCAAACAAAAAAAGATGACACAAAGAAAAAATAATCTATAGAATTAGACTACTTTTTTTTTTAGACTACTTTTTTAAAAAGACCCCACCCCAGTTAACAAAACTCTGTCCCATGTACCAAAATTTAAAAAATCCAAATTCACTGCCCTTGAGTCAATACGGACTCACGGTGATATTATGGGCTCCTGTGGAAGTTTCCAAGTAGGGAGCATTGTCTTCCTCTCAAGGCCCAATACATAACCACTATGCAACCAGGCCTCCTGTTTCCCATGTACCAACATATTAAAAAAATATATAAAAAGGGAAAAGATTGATTTGTTTCATTAGGCGATAGGTACGATTCTAGGCACTGTTCTAGGCATTAGAGGTACAACGATGAATGATGTACAAAACAACAAAGTCATGCCCAAGAAGCTTCTGATTCTAGTGGGTGTCGCAGGACAAAAACTATGCCAGATGATCTTTAGGCAAGAATTAAATAAGAGGATGGGGTGGGGGTAGGACTGTCTTGTTCTTCATAGAAAGGTCATGGAATTCCTTGGAGACTTGAAGAAAGTCAATTGTTATCCAAGGGGATTTCTGTGGGAAAAGTCTTAGGAATAAGGGTTAAATGTAAAATCCCATCAACATTTTACTGAGGATTAAAGGAAAAGCATGGAAGGGATTCTGAGAAGATGGCAATGTGGAGAGACTAATGCGCACCAGCAAAAGCCACAACAGAAATCTGTAATCTCAACTCTAAGAAATCTGAAACGTAGTGCAGGCTTCAAAAACTAACCAGACACTAAGATAAGAAAAGGATGGCACTTAATGGTAGTAGGAAAATGTCTTTTTCAGCTGTCCTTACCCCACACCCCTCCTGGGATGGCAGCCCTGCAAGTTGTAGTAGAGCTGGTTCACGATTCTCCTACTCAAAGGTGGAGCCTGGTCTGGAGTGAGCCAGGCAGAGTTTGCTGGCAGACTGGGAAATGTGCCTGTTCTCTCTGGGAGCTGCCTGAGAGAACGAACCCTCAGTTGGGTCTGAATCAATGCTCTCAGTGGGTAAGTGAACAAGGAACTAAGACCATGACTGCCTGAGAGGTGCAGGGCCAAAATTAGCCTTCCAAGAAGGCGCCCTGGGAGTGTATGGGTCACACACTGGACTGCTAGCAGCAAGGTCAGCAGGCAGTTTAAAACCGCCGGCTGCTCTCTGGGAGTCACGGTCACGGAAGCCCAGAGGAGGGCAGTTCTATGCGTCCTACATGACTGTTAGTAGTTGGAATCGACTCTGGTGGTAGTGAGCTTGGTTTTTGGGTTCTTAATATATAAGGGAATTGAGGAAGTCAGCAATGTATGACCTATGCTCAAATATGATAAAATTCCTAGGTCCACAGATTCAGTAGAAATTGAGAAAGCATACAAAGAAACTGCAAATAATGGCCTATTCAAAAGAAAAGGCCAAAGGGAGAGAATCTCTATGAAAGCCCACGAGTCCAAAAACAGATTGGGGGGAGGGAGGGAAGGTCACAACGCTGGGCAAAGCCTAATGGAATTGTGGGACACCATCAAGCAAAGTAGTGTAAGTGTCATGGGAATCCACAAGAGGAGAAAGGAAAGGTGAAGCAGGGGTACCACGGATAGGCAAGAGGAATGCTGGCACTTTTTTAGTGCCTTATGCTCTGGCACTAGTTCTCGTCCCTAATTAAGTAGTAGATTAAAAGGAACATGAGAGAGAGAGAGAAAAAGTAAACATTGCTAAAATCGGATTCTAAAAAGTTAAGTGGTGCATAGTAGTAAATTTCGTATGGCACAAGCTCTTAGGACTCACTCACAACTCACCCACAAATGACCCTCTGCCATAAATCCCAGAAAGCATGCAACTTCTAGTCATGTGAGTAACAAGACCTAAAGCAATTTCCTCATCCTTTCCATCTGACCAATTCCAGTTTTCTTTCTCTCCTTCCTCCCCTTAGAGTTGAGAGTACTCTAAGAAGAGAAAGAGGAAAAGAGTAGGAAAGAAATTTTAGGCTTCTCAAATATGGTGGTAGACTTCAGGTCTCCTGGTAAATTTCCTCCACAACCCTCTCTACCTATGACCCCAATTGTGGACACCCCAGTTGTGACCATTAATTGGGGGCACTGCAACCATTAACTGGAGATGTGGACCTAAAGGGGACCATTTATGTTTAAAATGTTTCATTCATGCCTTTTCAATTTCCCGGCAGTAAAATATGTATGTGGGTAGTTCAGGAAATCTATACTTGAACTAGTATCGGACTAAGAAAAAAGGTATCTTGAGTATTTATAAAAAAATACTATAAAAAATGAGCTTTTAGGTCAACACTTGTGTGTCAGCTGCTACTCTATTTTCCTGAGAAATTAGCAAAACAAAACAAACTCACTGTCATTGAATTGATTATAACAGGGTAGAGCTGCCTCTGTGGGTTTCCAAGACTGTTAACTGTTTATAAGAGAAGAAAGCCCAGTCTTTCTCCCTCCGAGCAGCTGGTGATTTAGACCTGTTGATCTTAGCCCAACTCATAACACTACCAGAGCTCCTCTTCTGAGCAATTACTTGTGTCAAAGTTGAGATAAAGATCTAATTTGATTTGAGTCAGAAAAAAAAATAAAATAAAGTACCGTGTGGCTTAAAAACAATATTTTAAATACCTGCGATAGCACCTGACATAATTATCATACAGTTATTTGTTGTCCAACCCCTTCCACCCTCAGTATGAACTAATCTTTCATAACACAACAATGAACAAAAATACAATATAAGCAAATGGTACCATTTAGTCTGTTGCCTATTTTAAATCTACTACATTCATCTACATATTAAGTAGCAATTAAAACAGGAAAGTTTATAAAAACCACTAAACAAAATTACTGTTATTTTATTGTGCTTAAAGAAACGAAAAGCTCGGGGAGGAGATGAGCCAGTCAGGGTGCGATGTAACAATGATGAGAAATACAACTTTCCTCTAGTTCCTAAAGGTTTCCTCCCTGCTCCCACTACCATGACTCGAATTCGATCTTGCAAGTCTGGCTAGACCAGAGGAGGTACACTGGTACAGATAGGAGGAACTGAAAATACAGGGAATCCAGGACGGATGAGCCCTATAGGACCAGTGGTGTGAGTGGCAAAACAGGGAGGGTAAAGGGAGAATGGGTAGGAAAGAGGGAACCGATTACATGGAACTGTGTGTGACCTCCTCCCTGGGGGACAGACAACCGAAAAGTGGATGAAGGGAGACGTCGGACAGGGCAAGATATGACAAAATACCCATTTATAAACTATCAAGGGCTCATGCGGGAGTGGGGAGGGGGGAGGGAGGGGAAAAATGAGGACCTAATGTCGGGGGTTTCAATGGAGAGAAAATGTTTTGAGAAACGATGTACAAATGCGCTTTACACAATTGATGTGTGTATGGATTGGGATAACAGTTGTATGAGCCCCTAATAAAATGTTAAAAAAAAAAAGAAACAAAAAGGTTATCTAGCTCAACTGCATTTAGATAGGCTTTAAGATTAGAGGAGTGGAGAACTAACACCATAAAAAGCAAGCTCTCTATAAACAGGATACGAAGTAAAGTGAACGAAGCTGGAAAAGCAGGGAGGCTACAAAGACTTTCAAAGAGCCATTTTAAGATTGTGTTTTGTTTTTGCCTAAGAGCAAATGAAAGGCACTCAAGTACAAAATTATAAACATGTTTAGATTTGCATTTTAGAAAGATAAATTCTAAAAGGAATTTCAGGCTTTTGTTTACTTGAATTGAATTTTAAAGTGAAAAAGGGGTAGGAGGGGATTTATGGACAGATTACCCTTTCAAAGAGAAATAACTATAAAATAAACCAACCAACAAATACTCTCACCCCACTGGTATGGAGTCAATTCCAACAGCTAGCAACCTATAGGACAGGGTAGAAATGTCCATGTGGGGTTCCAAGACTATAACTTTTTACAGGACTAGAAAACCTCAGCTTTCTCCCTCTGAACAACTGGTGTTTTCGAACTGCTGACCCAGCCGTTGTCAGCCCAACATGTAACCACTACAGCACCAG